TTATTTTGAATTTTTTCTTTATATTATGTTTAAGTGTACGGTGTTATCTGTTTGTTTATTTTTTTTTAATTTATTTTAAAAAAATTATTTTAAATTTTTTATTTATATTATGTTTAATTGTACAGTGTCACCGGTTTTTTTAATTTTTTAATTTATTTTTAAAAAATTATTTTAAAGTTTTTTCTTGTATTATATTTAAGTGTACGGTATCACCGTTTTTTTTTAAAATTATTTTGAATTTTTTTTATATTATATTTAAACATACGATGTCAGTGGTTTTTTTTAATTTTTTGAAAAAAAATTATTTTAAATTATTTTATTGTATTATGCTTAAGCGTACGGATTACCATACCATATATTATACCAAATATTATGCAAATATGTTACATAAAACAGAGTAATAAAATAAATGATGTTAACGATAAAATTGTATATTTGTTATACAAGATTGGATACAATAGATGGTTGTTTATGAGACCTACTATAATACATATTGAACTAACACACACACGAGAGAAAATTAGAATACTTTCTATTACCGATACTAATTTTCATTGTTATTGAAAATATAAACAATACATTTATCAATACCATATATAACTATCCTCAAAACAAACATACCCTAGGTTTAACTCATCTGATTAGGCCTTCCAGCTAAAGTAACCTTTTTGCAAAGGCTGATACATACCTCTTATAGGTCGCATGCTCCATCTATCTTCCTCTATCTTTCTGATGTGGGATTTGATAGCATTCCACAGGTTAGCTCTCTCTTCCATTTTGTAATTTTTTTTTTTTTTTTTTTGAGATGCAACAATAGGAATTTATTACTAAGGAATGTCAAAAAAATGAGAGGCATAACAAAATCTGGAGCTCTAGCCATACAATGCTACTATTTAATGGAAAAACAAAACGAGCTAATTTATGGGCTACTTATTCCCATTGTGTCGAACTCTGGACACTTCAAAGGAGTGAAAGCTTCTCGCTATACTATTAATATCTTGTAAGATGGTTTTGAGAGGATCAAAATTTCCATCACCACTCCTAATAGACTTCTACTAATTCTTGCTGCCTTGCAAATTGGATCGCAATTTTTGTTGCAATAGTTTCTGCTCTATGAATATCACAACTCATAACTATCATTTTAGACAATGCGTCTGCAAAGTAACCCCAGTCATCTCTTATAACTAACCCCACGCCTAAGACATTTGATTTGTGAATACAGCGTCATCCAAATGTACAACATTTTGCTATCCAAGGAATACTACATCTCAAATTTTTGATCAAATTCGAAGAATAAATTGATTTAGATAAGGTATTTTTAGCATGTGTGACCTATATCGTTGGAAAGATATACAAGTTAGGATTCTACAAAAAAAACGGTGCACCATTTGGACTTTCTAACAAAAAGTTATGATCAAATTAATGAAAGGTAGTCTGCTAGACTGATTGGTTCTGCTATACTTATTCAACTTGAGTTTGCGTGTCTTTTGTCACTAATCCTATCTCATACCCATCTCCAATATAGATAGTATGATTTGCATAAAGATTCATGCTTAGCATTATTTACTAACCAAAAGCCAAATTACCATCCGTCTCCAAGAATAGTCCATAACGACGGGATATAAAACTAGCATATCCATCTCAAAATTTTTGCCAACACCTCTAAGCTAGGTAATCTAAGAATTCGAACAAATAATCAATCCATAACCTAACTAAACAACCAATCACACTTATCTTATAAACATATTACTTCAAACAAAGTCAAGCCTAGAGTTTCCTTCACCCTCACCTAATACTCCCCAATTCGAAGCATACAACCTCTACACACCTTTTGAGTATCCAACCGTTCTCCTGTAGGCACGTCAATACTCAAGGCATGTTCTAGCTTCTCAAAGTCCAATCCCAAATGAAGAGCATATGTAGTGCGTATGAATGAATGAGTAGCACCGGGATCGAATAAAATTCAAACCCAAGAATTTTAAAGAAGAAAGATACCTTCAACAACTGCATCGGAAACGTCTTCCTCTGATTGGGTCAAAGCAAAAACTCTTTCTTGCTTGGTACTGCCTGGGTCTATAGCCCCAAATGGTTTCAGCTGTAATGGCTTCTGTCGTGGTGGCTTATTTGCATGTACTTGTCCCGTTACTTGATTGGTTTTTGGTGGAATCGATGGGCAGTTATTTTTGAAGTGCTCGAACCCTCCACATGCGAAGCATTGATGTGGGTCAGTGTCTGCTCTGTTCTGAGTAACCCCAGCTCCTCGAACGACTTGATTCCTTTGCCCCGAAGCTTGGTCAGGTCGGCAGTACGGAGCTGCCCTTTGTGTAACTCCACTGCTGCTAGCACCAGTCCTGATCAGACCTCCCCTCACGAAGTTCTATCGTCACTGATTGTTGTTTCTATTCTGCCGTTGTACCAGAGTGGTTAGCTCCCTTAGGCATTGATAGATGCCATTCATGGCATCTGGAGGTGGTGGTGGTGGGTTTGCTGGGCCACCACGTCCACGTCCACGTCCACATCCCCGTCCCCGTCCACGTCCACGTCCACGTCCCCGTCCACGTTCACATCCTCGTCCACGTCCATGTTCACGTTCACCCTCCATCCTGCACATCAATTCATAATTTAGTTTCATTGATGTACAAAACATTATAACTATCACTTTAATCTAAAGTATAAGGCTTGAATAAAATTTTAAATCCACAATTTCGTTCAACCTAATCCTATCTCTCTAGTGGTAATCCATAACCTATAGCTCCCATATAAGACCTAAAGCCTAGGCTCTGATACCAAACCTGTAACGCCCAAAAATCCACCTCGAACGGCATTACTAATTAAACCATTCACATCATGAGAGCAACTAACAAAATCCATAAAAAGATAAATTTCATTTATCATACATAAAATCTACAATATCACCCAAAAAAAATGTCAAATCGTGGCATCTACGTCCAAAAAGAGTATGTCAAATAATGGTAATTACAACTTAAAATCAAACTTAAAACTTGCAGCGAAATAAACAAAATAACATCTATCCATTGTATCAAAAGGTGTCTCCTAGTTTAGGACATGGGGAGATCAACTGTAGACATCCTCCCTCGGGATCCACGCTTTCATCCAATGACGCTTCCCAAGCTACTTGTTCATCACCTCCTAGTTCTTCCTTCATACCGAAATCTGAGAATAATTATTGTTTATAGGGGGTGAGCACTAAGCTCTGTACCAACATTCTCCCAAACTCGAACAAGGTTTAAAAAACATGTAAAATAAGCCAGTCTTATTTCGCAAATATCATATATTAATTTTTGAAAGAAAATAGGAACATTTCAATAGATCTTAAGTTTACACAATAGCAATAAATTAAGTGAAGTAATAACGCCCAATTACAAATAAAAAATCATTTCCAACCATAAACCATTTTCTACAAGTTCTTGTAGAATCCATACTTCCACAAACTCTTGTAGAAAAACCATTTCTGGTACAATAAACCATAAATCCCCAACTTGTATTCGTATCTCAGGTATGATGCATGATTCGCATGAATAAACACATCGAGAATATCCTGGCCCACACACACACACACCTAAATCCTCGCAAGAATATCCAACCTTTAGGAAGGGCGTATACCAACTCATGATAGTGACGAATCCAACCCAAGAATAGTATACTACCCCTTCTCCTCAGTACCCGTGAGCAAATAGTGTTTTGATCCTCACAAAACACCAACCCCACTATGAGTGGTAGAAAAAATTCAAACCCACACGGAGTAAGAAACGCGTCTACCCACTCTACGATACCCGATCAATGGGCACCCATGGTCATCCCAACATTCTCAAGAGATACAATCCCCAACAAATTCTCACATAACAATCCAATTTCAAAATCCCCAAATTTTCATATAGTATTACTATAAAGCAATCGAAGAAAATAAAGCAAGAGATCATCAACCATAACATTTTATTGTTCAATATAAAGCACTAGAGTTTTTAAATAAAAAACAAATGAAGAATCAAGAAAAAAATCATTACTTTTGAAAACTAGGGTTTTATACCAAGAAAAGAGATTTCATGGTTATCTACTCTAACTTTGTTTAAAAAATGATAATTTTTGAAAGAATATCAAGAATCAAGGTTTGCCATGCATATATATATGCTTTAGAGTCAAAAACATGTATATACATACGCCCTAGCATCAATGGACAAGAATGGAAGAAAACCCCTACCTTGGTGTTCTTGAAGAAATCTAGGGTTTTGATTCAATCCAAGGCACAAATCCCCTTATATCTTGTGTTGTTCTCTTCCTTTCTTCCTCTCTAAGGTTTTCTAGGGTTTGAGGTGTTGAAATGGGGCTAAATGAGACGTCTTTATATATTTATAGTGGAAAGAATCGGACCCAGATCGCAACTTAAAATTTCTGGAATCTGTCGGGCGTACTGGTACGGTATGGCTACTGGTCTTCGGAGTACCGGTACGCGTACCGGTTCCCTTTGGCAGCCTTGTTCCTTTTTCCTGTTTTTCCATTTCCAATCCACTTTTAACTCTTCCAAAATCAACCCAAACTTATACAACATAAATTTGTTCATCAAATATAGTTGGTACAAGTTCTATTACAAACGATTTCATATATTTATCCGGGTTTTACCATATTAGCATTTCAAAAAGAAATAATTACTTGCTATATAAAGATAAGAGTGTTGGGTTTTATAGCTAAAAAATAGATGGGGGTATCCATAAAATCTTCACTAGCCCAATAGGTTACCCTATCGCATGCTAAACCAAACTAGCTACTCCACTCCTCTAAGCCCCCCCCCCCCCCCCCACTTCATCCACTAACTTTGGGCCTTTAATTGCGGCTTGAGGTCCTTTCAAACTACTTCTCACTTCCATTGGGATATCAACCTCAATAATTACATCTGAATTGACTTTATTCACCGAGATTATATCTTAATTTTTCTTAAGCTTTCCTTCCTCGATTATCTCAGTTTCCTTTAATAAAGGATTTGGCTAGTTAATTGAAGGCCCCATTAGTTCCCCTGCCATTCCACTTTCTATATTCTGCCTTCCACTTATGCTCTCTATAATAGGAATTTCTTCCACTCCGAATATTGAGTCATTCACTCCCAAGTTACTCGGCTCATTCACCGCTTTCCTAATTTTGTGAGACTGCTCCAGTGATTCTAGTCCACCCTCCAGAGAAATGCCGCAGTTCTTTACCACCAGTAATTTATCATCATCGACCTTTTGGCCTGTTGTACTCTTCAACCCTTTACCCACTGGAGCCCTCAACCATGCCCCAAACTGCACCGGTCCTTTCATAACTAGGATTGATGAATCCAGTCTTGACGGACTTTCTCTTTTCCCATGGCCAAACCGTCCACAGCAATAACAAAAAATGAGGCAATCTTTTATACTTAAAAAACACAGTAAAACATGATCACCCCATCCCTTTAATATTCATACCTCTAAGAAGAGGTTTCTCAATATTAATGATCACCCGAACTCTCAAACACCTCCCCCATCCTAATCACTTATCAAATCTGTTTCAACAAAGCATCCTATCTTATTGCCTATAATTTCTACAGTTTCTTGATTCATTCTATTGAATGGAAAATTATAGATATGGACCTAGAAAGGACACCCACTAAACGATACTTTGGACGCCTAAAACGTACCATCATAATCTTTCAACATAACTAAATGGTTATCAAAGGACCATGGCATCCCTTCAAGAACTCTATTCTTGTCCAACATATTATTGAACTGAATAAGGAACGGATTGTCATCAGCCTCTATAAATTCCACTTTGGTAATATTTCAAACCTTTTTCATTGCAGTTTTGAAATCCATCTTATTGTAAAGCTTCACTGACAGAACTTTACCAAAGATACACAACTTTCCTCTCTCCCCCAAATCACCATCTCCCTGATCCAGAAGATGAACTTCAAGACTCTCATCCTCAACAAGTGTAAAATTACGCCACAGCTGTTGCATCTCCTTGTCCATTATAGTATCTAGAAGACCACTAACCCCAAAGTTAGAACCATTCCAACAAGTCAGCCACACTGAGCCAAACGGAGTGATTCAAGATCTGCACACAAAAATAGAGAAACAAGATAAAAGTTCAACCAATATGATGACCTCTACAAGAAACAGTTTATAATAACCTAATTGGGCAAGAAAGGTAATGATGGTCTAACAATAGACCCTTATAGATGACCAGAAAAGAACCTTAAACCAAAAACTTCCATTAGTTTGACCTAAGGAAGAAACCGACTCTTTAAGACAACGAAAAAACTCTACCCCTCTAGCGAGAAATAGACTCATGCTAAAAAACTCTACCTGTCTTTTTATTCTAATTAATTTTTGTTATTACATGCTGGTACTTATACCAATCTTGAGGATCAATTTGTGAATTTACTTTTAGCAATTGTGGATACTTTTTGTGTTTTTTATTTGACCTACTATAACATAAAATATATGAGTTCTAAAACTATTATAAGTTTTTAGCGTATTCATTGTTATTAATAATTATTTTTTATTTTTTAATTTTATGACCGATATAACCTCTTGACCCAACAAATGAACCAGTGCCTAATCTTTCTACATATCGATATCCAGTCCAGTTCTGATAACTATGATAAATGAAGTTGCATAACCTTTCATTTTTTAAATATTGAGCACATAAACCATATATATTTTAATTTTAGAGTCCTAATCAAAATCTAAGCAAAACTAAAGCTATAGAAGAATTATATTGTTCAAGATAAAAGTCAAGCATTAAATATTTTAACCTTATCTTTAAACCTTTTCCAATATGGTTTCTAATGATTTAAAGAAAGAAAAGAAGCAAATCCTACCACTGAAGTAATAGATGGTAGAGATCTGTTGTGTTTACTTATGCTTTGTTGTTTAACATGATGACAATAGATTTAGATCAAAAAAACAAGGTCAAGTGCGAACTCAAAATCGTTTGGATATGCAATTTCTAATTATGTTGATGTTGTTCTCCTTGTTGCACTCTGTAAATTCTTGGATTTGTAATTTTTGAACTATAATACAATCAACAACAAAGAGAGAGATAGATGGAGAAAGAGAAAGAGAAAGAGCGATGAACTCAAATATGAAAGGATTTTTTCAAATTTAACATTGTTTTCAATCAAAAAAAACACAAAAAATAATGGACATTGCAACACTTCTACCTTAGGGGGTATTTTGCAAATAAAAATAACAATAAAAAAATAATCTTGAAAAACCCTTTATGTAACACCCCAATGCATTTACATAATAATATTCAAAGCACTAATAGCCTTGTTTCTAATTAATACTATCTCCAAATAATAAGTAAACTTTGATACTAATTCCATAAACATATAAGTGTTTGTCATTAACCTCAACATATAAATGTACTATTTTCAAGTATGATATGACTCAGTCGTAAACTTATTACATTCCACATATATATGTGAAGTTTATTACTAATCACATGCCTCAAGAATATTAATCAACACTTCGAATGAAAATCATGAGAACTAACAGTTTAAATTGTCATAAATTTTTTCGTCATCTGTTAATCTGAAAAATGAGAAATAATGTAGGGTGATCATCAATTGTTCAGTAAAGTAACTCAATTTTCAAATAAACGAGTTTGAAAATAACATAATTTGATATGATTGGATAATATCAAAATAGTTCATTCCATACATAAGTAATAGAGCAAAAAATGTTGAATGAAAGCATTTAAGTTGAAAACAATTATACGACCATAACATCAATACAGTGCTACACTAGTGGGCGATCATCTTAATAGACAACTTAGGGTCTATACGAACATACGATCCATGCTTTTGGGGGACTTTCACCTCAAGGAAGATACACTCCCCAGTAACAATTAGGTACCTAAGTCCGGGAGGGTCACCCAGGCATGAACAGAAGGAATTGAACGAGGAGCCACCCTGTAGAGTGGCAGTAAGGGTGACTTATCTGAACTCTGCCTTACGTAAAGTTGTAGAAACCCTCTATGACCTTAACCTAAAACGTAAACCCTCTATCACTCAAACATTACGCACTTACATTTCATTCCAAAAAGGATCCTAGATTTCAAATTAGTGCAAGTAATACAATCAATACATTCATTTCAAACATTAATGCGAGTTGCACTCAGAAACCCTAATTCAGGTCTGGATCAAAGTCAATATTTAAAAAATCCAATCATATATTTCAAAATATGATAAAACATCATAAATAACATATAGAATAATTTAGAAACAAGTTTCAAAAGTATCGTCTATTCTGAAGTTAAGAAACCCTATCAAACTCGGTATTTTGATTTGAAATAGCCAAAAATGAAACGATATTATTTTTCAATAAAATTTCTTACACATACTCAATTTAAATATTTAAAAATGAATATTAAATTTATTTGGAAAAAATACCCAAAACCTAGGAGGGAAAAACAAATATTTTACATCACCTATTGATTTGGGTATCAGATTGACCTCAAATTTACCGAGACCTCCACGCGGATGTTATGAAACTTCTTGCACTAACTAGAGGTCAATCAGACACCAGACGTGCCATCGGGGTGTCTAGTAGTGCTTCAGTCCCCTTCATCTTCTACCTCCAACAAACCTTAGATGTCAAAATTCTGTTTGAACCATCCCTCTTCTCACTCCTATAACTCACTCCATAATTTGTATTTTTGTTTGTTTTTAGAACCCAGACACTCACCACATGGCCCTCTTCAGATCCTCATACGTTAGACCCTTTGAACCAACCACTAACTCATCCAAAAATTGAACCAAAGTTTGAAGAAAATAAGGTTTTACAACTCGGGGTTAGACCTGTAACTGCCTTTTTCACCCACCAAACAAACTCTAAATCAATTTTTGAGATCACCAATGGATTTCTAGAGTTGGTTTTAGTCTAGCCCAATACCTTTTACGTTTTAAAAACTCCAAATTCAAAGCTTTGATTTTCAAGAAACTCAAATCCTAGCTTTAACCTACACCACCTTCACACCACTTTTACAAGTCATGGCCACCCACCAAACTTCATATAAAACCCCTAGAAACCATTCCCAAACTCAAGATTAAGCTAAAACCAATCAAAAAATCAAACTTGTTTCAATACCCATTAAAACTCAAAAACTTCAAAATGAAAATTCATGCTCAAGAAATAACCAAAACTAATTCCAAGCACACCCTAATTAAGCTAGAAGCTTACCCCTTGTTTCTCGAATTCAAATCCATAGAGGTTTGGTTCTTCAAGCTCAAAGTTTCTCTCTGTACCTTATCTCCTCTCTTTCTCTTTCCTATTGGTTTTGGGTCATTCGAACAACCAGTAGAGATGTCTATCACCTACAAAAGTTTCTAGATGGATGGCAAGAGGTGGAGAAGCCCCAGGCACTAGCAAGCTGCTTGGGAAAGCATGCCATGTAATGGCATTTTCATAAATACCATAAATTTGAAAACTAAATTTTAATATATATTTATTTTTTTATTTTTTTATAATTACATACATATTAAAACATGTCCTAGAAAAATATTCACCTAATTTTTAAAACTAAAATGAGCATTTAATTTCATCTCCAAATCCTACACCCCCACCCTTGACTCTCTAATTCGCGTTAGACCTACATTTTTTGGATTCGCATTTCGGCTTCCTCCCACTTCACCAATCAAGCTCCTATCATCTTTTAACATCTCAATCATCATTAAAAACTTCCACACACACTTTAGCCATAGCTGTCATGACCATCGAGTCCAAGTCTTGCAGAAGAAGACCCACAATCTTGTCTCGGATGGACAACTTCAAGCCATCCTCAAACTTCCTCACCTTGGCCATGTCAGTGGCCACATAGTCATCGGCGAAACATGTTAATTCCCTAAACTTAGCCACGAATTCCATCACCGTCATCGTCCCTTGTCACAAGTCTAAGAACTCCCGGGCCTTTGCATGTCTTTCGGCCGCTGGAAAATACTTGCCCATGAAGAGCTCCTTGAACTATACCCAAGTCATAGCCTCCAAATTCTTGGAGTCCTTCACCCAATCCCACCACAATTGGGATTCCCCTTCTAGCTGAAACGTAGCTAGGGTTATCTTCATGGCGTCGGAGGTGATCTCCATAACCCTCAATACCTTATCAACTTGCCGGAACCAATGGTTAGCCACCATAGGATCTGCCCCTCCCATGAAGATCGGAGGCTGATGTGCCTTGAAATTCTGGAGGTTACTTGAGCCTTCTTGTCCCCCACTTGTACCAGTCTATGCAATGGTGGCAGCCGTAGCACTAGCCTGTGCTATGGTAGCAATCGCCGTACAAATAGCCTCCACTAAGGCTTGTTGGTCAAAAGTCAGTGGTCGTTGGTTATTGTTCCATCCACCTTGACGTCCCCTTCCTCTAATTGCCATCTACACACATGCCAGATAGCAATAGAGCATTCACTTAGTATCCCATGATAGGGACCAAACTTGAAACATTGAGATCCATCTCCTTGTTTCACTAGTAGAGTCTATGCCACCCACTAGTAACATTTATACCTTGAACTACCCCGTTCATTTCTTTTCCGACCCCCAAGGTTATGTTTTTTCTAACCCTAGTGTCTCTTTCCATATACATTTTACCATGTATACTATTCACATAATCACATAGCACATAATCATGTAACAAAATGTAAGCACATAAGATGAAATGTACAATGTATGCAATGGTCTAAATCTAATGCCCATCACCTAAGTAATTCATATACCTATGCTCTGATACCAAGCTGTGACGCCCCTAAAATCGGGGGTCCTTTTTCAACCGTTGACTACCTGTCAACCCGCAGAAATACTAGTGCTTGTCACACGACCCGACATCATGTCAATCGTATCCCCTTAACCGGGATCATAACCCACACGTATAATCTGTGTTCCTTTAATCATTTAATTCAACGGAAGTCCAATGTGCCTCAATATACCTCATTTAATGTCCATTTTTATCAATTGAACTAAAGAAAACAAAG